AAGTCAGGGCTGCACCATCCCCAGAAGGAAGGGGAATTCAGTCAAGTCACACCTCTCCTTGAGGCTTAAAATGTAAAAAGCCCAAGAAGGGTGCAAAGGGGCAGGTGCAAAGGCAGCATTCCTGCCATCATAAAGAATGAACCAGAGCCAGGCAGCAGTGGCGCACGCCTTTAATCCCAGCACTCGGGAGGCAGAGCCAGGCGGATCTCTGTGAGTCTGAGACCAGCCTGGTCTACAGAGCTAGTTCCAGGACAGCTCCAAAGCCACAGAGAAACCCTGTCTCGAAAAACCAAAAAAACAAAAAAAAAAAAAAACAAAAAAAAACACTTTAAGCACAGATTCATTAGGTTGTCTTCTCCAGACCCCTGGGAAGGACCAAGGAAGAGTGTGAACAGATGTCATGGTAAGCCATGAAGAGATGGTTTGCTATGCTAGAGCACAGCTAAGGCTGCGTATGCTGTTATGAAGATTAATTCAATTCTTCATTTGAAACCCTAGCCAGCTTTTCCAACCACGTAGAGGAGGCGACACAAACTCCAGTGTTGCTCGTAGACTCAGACACCACAAAGGAAGTCTGACTTATCTAATGGTTCCATCCAGTCCCCAGCCCCTAGCAATGGTTCCATGACCTTGTGACCACATTGTCCCTTCATCTGCCAACCCCTGTGAGAGCTTTGTAGCTATTTCAGACAGAGGTAGAGGTTAAGAGCCAGTGGCTGGATGTTCTGTTTTTCTGACCTTCAGTTGAACCCCAATATCTGTACTGGGTTTTATTAATCATGTTACAATGGGCCCCAGGTTCAGTGAGAGACTTTGCCCCACAAATGGTAGAGAATGGGCGAGGAAGACACTTGACATTGACCTCTGACCTCCACACACATGCACACACAATTGTCCATGATCCCGTATGTGCAGGTGCACAAATATGAGCAAGTACTTGCTACAGGCACACACACACACACACACACACACACACACACACACACACACAGAGAGAGAGAGAGAGAGAGAGAGAGAGAGAGAGAGAGAGAGAGAGAGAGAGAGAAGAATCAGCTAAATTTAAGGCCCCAGATCCGTGCCTCCACCAGAGGAGGTATGTGGTCCCTCCAGGGCTTCCACACAGGTTCCTAGACCTACAGGACAAAGATACCGAAGATTCCTAGAGGAGCCCTCAATGCTGGGTTACAAACAGATCAGGAGGCCAATACTTACCAGTATTGTGTGCCATTTCCTCTGTGGACGGCTTGGTCCAGTCTTCAGCCTTGTTGATGTGAAATAACTTCAGATCCTCCTCTTCCAGGGCGATGTCTCCCCAGAAGACAGCTAGCAAGAGAAAGCACAGTGAGTGGGTCAACTAAGCCTGCAAGTCAGAAAAGGGATTTGCTAACCCGCCTGAAGGCACCAGATGCGAGGAGCAAATCCTAGAAAGGACAGTCCTGCCAATCAGTGTTCTCCTAGAGCCCCAATGATAATTGCATTAGAGCCATGGTATCTGGGCCAACCACCACGGGAACCCAGAGCCTTGGTTGATAAACACCCCTCTGTCTCACCCTCGCTCCAGGCAGCTACAGGCTAAACATCACATAGAGACAACCGTTTCTTTCCTCTCCTGTCCCTCTTCTATAAAAGAAAAAGCACAGAGCCACTGTTTACACACCAGTTACAGTATCTGCTGCCCTTCTTTGTGCAGGAGCCCCCATCCTACATGTCCCTTCTGTAGGGACAAGCAATATTCTAGACCAGCCATTCTCAGCCTGTGAGTCACCACCCTTTGGGGCTCCAACAACCCTTTTCACATGAGTTGCCTAAGACCATCAGAAAGCACAGATATTTAAATTATGATTTGCAACAGCAATCAAATTACAGTTATGAAGTAGCAACAAAAATAATTTTCTGGTTGGGAGGAACCACCACATGAGGAGCTGTATTAAAGGGCCGCAGCATTAGGAAGGTTGAGGACCACTGCTGTAGACAGTCAAATCCAGCACCCGGGATCTTGAGCACAGGTAGTGTAGAACACAGACAGGGCTTATCGGGACGCATGCGTAATTCTGCTTTGGAGACATGTCCCCATAGGCCCATGTACTAAAGTTGTGGACCTAGAGTGGCCCCCGCTGGAGGTAATGAAGCTGTGAGATGGGATCATAGGCCCAGACTCCTCCCCACTTTCTCTACGCTCTGGTGTTCTTCTCTGCCAGGCGCACCCCCACGGTCCTGTTCGGCAAATCACTCGACCCATTTCGGCTTCGGCTTCCTCATCCGGGGATAAAATTTTTGCGACTGGAGTTCACATTGTGTGAGAAATAACTGAGATGGGGTTTGCTAACGGCTGGTGCAGGACCGGCCATGGCGAGCGTTCGGTGAACCGCAGAGCCACCCTGATTTTTACGGAGTTCTGCCACAACTCCCACCTCTCCTCTGGTGAATTCCCCTCCCACCCTGACACGCCCCTTCCTGTCTCGGTGTGTGTTGCTGTAGGGTTTAACTGTGTCATCCGCCACCTAACACGTGCGGGACCTGGGCGTGTATCTGCGCATGCCAAGCTTCAGGCAGGCAGGGCTGGGGGCCAGGGCAACACATCTAGAATTAGAGTTGTACTTAACAGTTAGCAATGGATTCTATCTGTGTGTTACTTTTTTTTTGTATTTCTGTACCGTCGCAAACCGGAAAACAGAGCCTCAGCAAAGAAAATCACTTACTCCTGGTCACACAGCCAGCAAGTGGCAGAGCCCCGGTCCTCCACCTCTCAGCCCCCTCACCATCTACCTCTACTCCTTCTCCCACCCTGCCTGACTCAAAACGCCCTGAAGACAGGCTCTGGATTTATGCACACACATTTCATCTGCCCAAACCCACTTCCCACACTAAGGAAGGTCAAGCCAGAGGCCACAGAGTATGGGACAGAATCGGGCAGCATCTGCCCTTGAGACACTAGGCAAACAGCCTAAGCTCCCTGAGTCTCAGCTTCTTCATCTCTCAGGTGGAGATGGGCAGCGATGCCACTTCCTTCCTGTGAGCATCAGGCCAGATGGCGTGAGCAAGCGTTGAGCACCGAGTGGGCACCTGGACCCACTCAGTGTCTACAAGAAAGCATCTGTGTCCTGTAGCCCTCAAGACCCTCAGTAACGGTCTACAAGGCTAGTGATGTACAGTTAGACTGAGTGCTATGTTTCCTAAAGGTGGGATGCTTCCCTCCCTTGAAACGCTGCCCCTCACAAATGCCTGACCCAGGGTAGCCTTTACCCACACCATCCACAGAAGGGTGTGGGGCTGGCTTTAGGCACTACACAATGGGCAGCTTCCATTCCACCTCAGGGCCCAGAGAGCCTTGCCACAGTCAGTCCTGTTTCCCTCCCTGTGGCCCCTATGGGCTTCCTGTGATGGAGTCTGGATCCCAAACTCTGCTTTCCTGGCCTATAGATTCCCCCAGACTCCATCCCAAGACCGCCAAAGTGGATCCCATGGACACCACCAAAGATGGTTCAAGAAGCTACCTGCCCACAACTCAGAGTCGCCTGTTATTCAGACAGTGACATTCAGTGGAGATTCAGAAACCCCGATGTAGTTGGTTGTGTTACTCTTTGCTCTTTGGGGGCCCGCCACCCAGCTCCCAATAAATACATGGAGATTTATTCTTATTTATGAATGTCCTGCCTTAACGTGGCTTATTTCTAGCCATCTACTTTTGGCCTCTGGGCTTTTGCCTTTCTCTATTCTATATTCCTTTTCTCTCCTTCTTATACGTGGTTGATTGTGTAGCCAGGTGGTTAGCCCCTAGCATCCTCCTCTCCTTCTCTTCCTCTCACTCCTCCTTCTTTTTTCTGTTCCTCTCCTGTTTATTCTCTCTACACGGCAACCCCGCCTAATTCTCTCTCCTGCCTAGCTATTGGCTGCCCAGCTCTTTATTAGACCAATCATGTGTTTAGACAGGCAAAGTAACACATAAAAGAATGCAACACATGTTTAACTAATATTCCACAACACCCAAACTCCTTTCACAGTGTGTTCTCCAAACCATGGAGAGGGGCTTTAGTACCCTCTCTGCAACTCACTGGAGTTAATATTGGGTCTCCATGGAGAAGAACAAGACACTAAAGAGGGAGGCTCTAATAACAGAGGTTCCGTAATCGCTTAGTGATGACTACCATGGGCACAAGTGGGGAGGTTCAACCCTTCTCCCACATGACCGCTAGCTTTACTTTCGTTGATAGAAAGGAAGATGGCCTCACACTGGTTTAGAAAAGAAAACAAGTTTGATCAGGGCAACTGCTTTCTTGCAAAATCCAAGACATAAATTGAAATAAGTTAATGTATCCACAATAACACATCAGACTGCTGTATAATAGAAACTTCTAGCACCTTTTAAAGGGACTTCATATCTGAGCTTCAGTGGGGTATCTATTAACTGTCTGTAGTTCCTGGATACTTGGAATGTGGTTAGTATGAAAGAGAAACTGAGTTTTAAATCTTATTTTGCTTGATTAATTTAAATTTAAATTGCTGCCTATGGCTAGTGACCATGCTATAAATATAAAGTTGAATGTAATAAAAACTATGACATATAATATATGTATAATTATTTAAAAGCACAAAAAGAGTCAGATACCTTGAAATAAGTTTAGTAGGCACTGTGTTAAAGAAATACAGACTCCTGGTAAACTATAAAAAAACTGTGGGCAAGATAGCGCATTGGTTAAGGCGCTTGCTACCAAGCCCAGTGGCCTGGCTTCAATCCCCAGAACCCACACTATGGAAGAGTTAGCTCTCCCAGAAGTTGCTCTCTGAGCCTCACATGTTCAAAATGGCACATACATACACAAATACACACACACACACATAAATGCACAAAAATTAAAAGCTAAAGAACTGTAAAATTGGGTAACACCGAAAGAAAAATGTACTATATTCAAGAATGAGAGGCTATGATTTTAAAGATGAACTCTAAGGTGATGTGTAGGTTCATGCACTTCAAAAATTACAATAACTTTTCATTGTTGACAAAATGATCTATAAGTCCACCTCACAATTATGTGAGAACAGTCAAGAGAGAATTGATAGAGCTACCGCAACCCTGTCATAAAACATGCTCTAGGATCGGGTTCTAGATTATGTAAGAAAACTATGAAAAATTAGGTTGCACAAATCTATGGAAAGTAGGAGACTTTTTGATGGGTTCTGTTGAAACGGTGGCTTAGCTAATGAAAAAAAAAACTCAAGTAGACTTTGACTGAATTCCACACAACAAAATTAAATCCAAACAGATAAAACATTAAATCCATGGTTGTTTCCACAAAATCTAGAAAGCTAAGTCTACAGTCAGTCCTCTGTATCAATGGTTCTACACCTGGATCCAAAACTATTTGAAAAAAATCAATGTGTCTATATTAAACATGTGCAGGTTGTTTTCCTTCTCGTTGTCCTAGGCATTACAGTATAGTAATTATTTATAAAACATTTACGACATGTCGTCAGGAATTATATAGGAGGAAGTGCATAGTGCTACGTGCCAACTATGACACCATTTGACAAAAGGAAGTTGAGCTTCTGTGGATTTCAGTCTGTGGTGAACTCTGGAAGCAGTCCCCACAGATACCGAGGGAGGGACAACTGTACATCTAAAAATCACACCTACTGAAATATTACTGAAAGGCAAAATGGGACCCATGGAAGCCATCTATGAGAAAATTCTCCAGGCCATCACCTCTTCCACTGCTAGACTGTTAACCGTGGACCAGGAGCATCGACAGCATCTTGGACCTTGACATAAATACGTCCAAAGCCTCAGAGGCCATCCTGGTCTTTCTGAGAAAGAACTTACAAACTTAAAAGATCCCTTGAGTAAATTACATACACATTATGTATGTAAACTGAAAATCACTAGTAATAGTGACAAGAGACTGTCCCTAGCACCTGTGAGTCTTGAGCTACAATCTTTCTGCCATCTGAGGTCAGAACTTGAAAATGCAGAGCCATAGAAGGAATTTCAAATGTGTTTCCATAAAAATAACCCTCTGCCTGTCAAACCCACTAGAGTTTCAACCTGCAATTCAGAGAGTTGCCAACAGGTGGTGGCGTTTGGTTATGGCATTCTGAGTCATAAAGTAAATGGCATTTCAGGAAGAGGTGGCGAATGAACTACAATAGGAAGAATGCTTTTCAGGAAAAAAAAAAATAGAAAACCTTAATGGAGGCTCACAGCTGTGATTCTAGTAGTTAAAAGACTGGGAGAGAAGGACATTCATGAGTTCAAGGCCAGCTTGGGTTTACATAGTGAGTTTTAGGCAAGCCTATACTATGCAGAGAGACCTGTCTCCAAAAATTAA